AGGGAGAATTTCTTCGCGATTGCTGTCAGCTGATGTTGTTGGACGTTGCTGAGGTTCCTCGGCTTCCCTGCGACTTAGTTGTGAAGGTGTAGAATGGGAAGTTTTTGGTCTAGTATCTTCTTCATCAGCTGGTAAAATCTCTTCCTTCTGCGAATGTGAACTGTGAACCATTCGCTCCGCCGTGGTTTCCGTAGGGTCTTCTTCATCATCATCAGGTGGAAGAATCTCTTCCTTTTGTGAATCGGAGCTATGCACCACCTTTCCTACTCTATTCCCCACGACTTGTTCCTCATCAGATGCCAAAATGTCCTCGTTGTCAGAGTAAATTCCAGCAATGGGATCACTATCCTCGTCTCTGATGAAGTCCTCCTCATCGCTGTCAGCTAATTTCTCCTTCCTTATCATTTCTGCCTTCCTCTCTGCCTCAGATATAACACTCTTCCTATCCTCCATATTGTCTGCAGCTGAAGTCGATGGACCTATCTCGTCAGGCTCAGCGGTTCTAGATGTGCTGCTATTTGGCCGGCCACTGTCCGTAGGTGGTGAGTTTTTCGTCGAAGTCTCCGAGCTCTCATCGTCTTCTTCTATGAGAAGCCCTTCAGCTGCCTTCAGGGTCCTTTCTAATTCCTCATTAAACTTGAATTCATGGTCCTCGTCCAACTTCGGAGTGTCGGTCAGTCTACTGCTGATTGAATTTGCTTTTCCTGAGTCGCTATCATCAGTTCTGCGTAACGGCGTAGCCTTTAGTATTGGTTGATGAATAGCTAAAACACTCAGATCATGGTTAAATGCAGAATTTATTTATGCTTTTTACACAACATACCTGGTAAATGTTTGGACTTTTTCTTTCGTGCTCCCGTCGTCATTCTCGTATTTCGTCTGAGGGCATTAACAATCGCGCGCTTCTCGATACCATTCTCGTTCGAACTGCTTGTTGTATATGAGGTATCGGATGCTGGAAGTTATTGACGTCATTGATGTCATCAATTTTTACTCTCCAGATTTCCCGTATTTTACCTACATGGCTTTAAGTGCTCTTCAACAGAGAGACTATTGAAATTTTTAATGAACTCAAAATGGTAAAGTTTG